TATTAAGACCAGCTGCCTGCAATTATTGCAGGGTTCGAATCTCGCCAAGGCTCAAGGTTGACTCAGCCTTCCATCCTTTCTAAGGTAGGTGAAATGAGGACCCAGTTTGTGGGGGCAATAAGCTGACTTTGTATAAATATACAAAAGGATGAAGGCTATTGCTGAGTACATTGTAAGCCGCCCTGAGTCTTCGGAGAAGGGCGGCATATAAATCAAATTAAAAAAAAAAAAAGAAAAAAGAAAAAAGAAACGACGTGTTTCCTGACTTCTGTTAGGCCCAGAATGCCCGAAAATCAGCTGGCTGGCACATGCATGCGTGCCGGAGCTGAGCTCGCGTGCCCACCGATATGGCTCTACGTGCCACCTGTGTGGCACCCGTGCCATAGGTTTGCCATCACGGGACTAAGTGATTCAAAATTGGGGAAACAGTGTTGCAAGCTTGTATACTGCTACCCTACCTATTTAACATATGCATAAAATATCACAAGTGGAACTGAAAAAAATAGACATAAGAAGTAAAATTGCTCCAAGAAATATTAATGGTCTCAGATAAACTGGCGATATCGCTTCAGTAGAAGAAAGTGAGGAAAATTTAATCAAGGTGAAGGCCAAATGCAAAAGCTAGTCTGACACTCAATTTCTCTTTTTTAAAAAAACCAAGATTACATCAACTGATTGTGCCAAGCTAGTGCAAATAACTGAAGAAGTAATGGGAAAAATATGAATGCTCATGCTAGAGGAAATTGTTGAGAATTGCTCGGGCAGAAAATAGTCATTCAAGCCTAAATGAAGTAACACCAATCTACAGGTAGTCCGCAATTTACGACCACAATTGGGCCCAAAATTTCTGTTGCTAAGCAAGATAATTGTTACGTGAATTTTGTCCCATTTTACAATCTTTCTTGCCACAGTTGTTAAATACATCACTGCCACTGTGTTAAGTTAGTAACACAGCTGTGAACTGAATCTGGCTTCCTCATTGACTTTGTCAGAAGGTTGCCAAAGGTGACCACATGACCCTGGGACATTGCAACTATCATAAATATGAGCAGTTGCTAAGCATCTGAGTTTTGATCATGTGACCATGGAGATGCTGCAACAGTTGAAGGAGTGAAAAATGGTCATAAGTCACTTTTTTCAGTGCTGTTGTAACTTCAAATCAAGGGTGAAATGCTCCCGGTTTGGACCGGATTACCTGATCAGGTAGCGATGGTGGCAGGTGGTTCGGAGAACCGGAAGCAAAAATCCCTGCCCCCCGCATGCCCAGATTAGCCCCGCAATCATCAGAGGCTTTTTTAAATTATTTTTAAAAGCATTTTTTCTACAACCTCTTCGACCGAAACAATGCTTTTAAAAGTTAAAAAAAAAAGCCTCTGATGATCGCGCGGCTCAGCTGGGATCGTCAGAGGCTTTTAAAAGCATTTGTTTACAACCTCTTCAGCTGAAGAGGTTGTAGAAAAATTGTTTTTAAGAGAAAAAAAAAGTTGGCCACGCCTACCTAGTCACATTACCCCCCACCAAGCCATGCCCACAGAACCAGTAGTAACAAATTTTACATTTCACCACTGTTTCAAATGGTCACTAAATGAAAGGCTGTAAGTCAAGGACTACCTGCACTCACTGGAAACACTAATAACAAAGCTAAAGTTCAAGTTCTTTAGAAAAATAATGACAAAGAATAAATCTTTTGACACAAAGTTCACAAAATATGCTTGGAAAAATCCAACACAAAAAACTAGCAAGAGGCAGGATGTTATCATATAAGCATGAACTTATGAGAACTTCAAGAAGTAGTTGCATATAGACAGTTCTGGCAAACCATTGTACATCGACTACAGTGAGTTGGAAATGAATGAATAACTGAAGAAAATAATAATACTAGATAGTGTACCATCGTTCCATTCATATTATCAGAAAGGGTATCTTGTATTATATGGACATCAAGATATAATTTATAAACAAACTGAATTGTCAAAGGAAAAAAAATGTAAAAGGTACATTTTTATCTTGTGTGAGTGCTGAAGAAATAGGTAATAAGAGCAGAAGGAATATTTTTTCAACACCACCAGATCTGAGAGACTTTTGAAACAGCTGATCTCTGTGGATTCAATACTATTTAGCTGAAGATATAATTATTAATTATATTTATTATAATTATTCTTATAACTATTTATATTAAGACTAGTCTATTAATTAGTCTTACTTGAATTTTATGTATTCAGATTCTGCCAGAATAGTGATACCAACACTATACTATTTTGAATATTCCTTCCTCTAACCTACTTATTTAATCACAATTAAAATTTAGAGATGACAGACTGAATATTATAAAAATTGTATGGAGGTATTTTTAATAAAAATAAATGACTGTGTACATATTATAACTATATGTAATTTAGCCACCAGATGGCATAGAATGTAATTGAATCACCACTGGATCAGAATCTATCTGTTATGATTTTAATTTTACTGAAGATGATAAAGTTGTTACTTAACTGGCTGACCAGCAATCCCGCTAAGCTTTCAAATAGCTATAAACCAGGGAAAGGGAACTTCTAACCCAGTGTAGCACTCAATGGGAAAAAGTTATTAATTGTATAGAATATACTCTAAATGGAGAAAGAGAGTTTAGAATGCATTGAAGTAATTTTTATCTATGATAAAAACCCAAAGAGAGGACCCTGAATTATTTTGTGAAGGGATGTACTCTGGCCTGATTCAACACAATTCAGCCTGCAGGTCGGGGTGTCAAACTCAATTTTATTGAGAGCAGCATCAGGGTTGTGTTTGACCTTAGGGGGATGAGGGGTGGCCAGGGTGGGCGTGGCCATCTTGACAACACTCGTATCTGGGGCACCTGTGGTGGCCCAAGCACTCTGAACTCCATTTTCGCTGGAAGAGGGTTGCAGGAAGCCATTGCAGTCGAAAACGGAGCTTGGGCCATGTGCAGCCCTCCCAAGCTCCATTTTCGCTGGCAGACACACCGCAGACTGGTCCTTCGCTGTTTTCAGGGCAGCCCCACGGGCCAGATCTAAGCATGATTACTTACCCAGCACATGCAGATTTTGTGACAACCATTCAGATAATGCTGGAGTTAATCGCTTGCTCCTCATCATCCCAGAATTAGCCATTTCCCTCTCCCGGTGATTTTCAGATGAACTTTAATTCTAAATACACAACCATGAAAATTAGCTGATTCTTGTATGACAGTACAATGTTTTCTACAAAATTCACTAATACTTCAAGTAGATCAAAGTCTATAGGTAGATCTCTGGTTTAATTAAGTAACTCAGCAAAGGTTGAGCCTGTTGAAATGAAGAAAGTGAATTTGGAACAAAAGAACTAAGCTAAAATGAATTCTACACTAAACCCTGGATTTAATAGATTAATAAAGGATGTCCCTTAAAGCTGGAAAAATGACATCTTAGTCTATTAAGTGAAAACTGGAATATTTTTAGCCTCAAAACATACTCATATATAATGTATGATTTGTGTGTTTGAATGAGTACATAAACTCTTAACTGCTTCAACATATCCCTGCAATTTTTTGGAAGTGCCTTCTTATTGCTTTCTTCTTAGTAGTGTGAGGAAGCAGCCCAAAATCACTCAACTGGCTACAAACCTAAAGTGGTAAAATTCAATCTCCAGATTTTTAGTCTAGTATTTTAATCATTATACCAAAGTGGCTCCCAATATAAGCAGAGAAAATTCATTTTGAGGGGAAGCAGCAAGGATTATTCAATGGTCTATTGTCCATGTTTGCGAGAAACTCTGTTACTGCTTGCAATTAGGACAAAATTCAGATACAGTAGGTTTTATCAAATGAGAAGCCCCTTAAGCCAAGATTTATTGAATCAATTATTTATTGTATTAAAATAATTCTCTGCATTAATGTAACCAGTTGGTTTAGCAGATAGAAGTTTTACCAAGGAAATGGGTGTTTGTTTGGGTGGGCATGTAAATTAAGGGCCCTTATCTTTTTTTTTTTTAATACAAGGCAAATTAAAATGATACATTAGATAAATGCACAGTTGATTGCCTTTGCTCATATTAAATCTGTGTGATGTTTCATTTCACCTTAACCCCCATAAAATTCACAAGAAGGAATTACACCTGGGTACATCAAACTCTTTATTTCTGGCTATATGTTTTTTGGCTCCAAGATATAATGGTTTCAATAAAATTTAAAAAAAAACACAAACAAAATAAATCTAATACATCAGTGTTTCAAATTCCTGTTCTTAAACCAAGAGCAGACGTTCCGATAATTTATTGGTAGATCAGCAAAAAGGATAAAAGCTATTTGTACGCCAGTCCAAGTTCTAGTAAAATATTTATCAGTTGATCATGCGTTCAGAGATATTTTCTGCTGTTTTATTTCTGCCGCTCTGGATGGTTCTGGTCCTGAAGAATCTGAAACCTCCTGCAGTATTTGGTTAAACAAAAACCTTTCGAGTCGATTGCACGGACAACGATATGGAAATGATTTGATATTACTTCTAGGCATTTTCTTTTTAACTTCCGAGTCCTGCGATATCTGGATTCAAGCCAGCGTTGCTTCGAGAGATCAGCCAAAGCTGTTTAGGAGCTACTCCCTACCTGAGACTAACTGGGGCAAGCTAATAACGTTGATGATCATTTGGATTCCAGTTATCCAGTTATTCCAGAGGATCAGCATCTGGATTCCGGTTTTCTAGCATCGGTACAAAGCCTGCCACGGCAGGCATTCGGCATAGAAAAGCAGAAAGGACTCTCTCCACTTAACTCGGTCCTAGATTGCAGGTTTAGCCTATTGAAACGGAGCTATTAGAGCGAAAGATGAAAGTCTAGGTAGGGCTACTAGGCCGAAGGGCTCAGCTTGGCAATTCACACAAGCAACATTTTCACCTGCTTTTCCCCTCACAAAGGAAAAGAGCGGGCGGGCCGACATTGCCAAGAGGAGGAAAGCCCCGCCCACCTTTCCAAAGAGGGCCCCGCCCACCCCAGGGGCGGGGGTTTTATAAAGGCCGTTTTTAAAGGTGCAACGAGAAACGACGGTTCAAACGAGCCCTGTATCCTTCCCACCTTTCCCCCACCACAAAGCGCCCTCTGCTACGCCGCAGTCCCCACGCCGCTTTTTCCCTCACACACACACACACACACACACACACACACACACACACATCCGTTACCCGCTCCCCCCTTCTTTTTTTCTTTCTTCCTTCCTCCTCCTCCCGTCAAACCCGTGACAGCCTTTGCGGCACGCCCTGCCAGGCCGGAGCTGCCGTTTGCGGGCAGGCTGAGGGGCGGCCGCGTGTTGCCTCCGCCAGCCAACGGGACGACCCGCGACCGCGCGGGGAAGGGGGTGTGTGCCCGTACTGCGGCCCTCCGCTTTCGGAGGCGCCGGGACGAGGACGGGCGTCGGTGACGAACCATGGCCTCGACCGAGGAACTCCTGCTGCCGCCGCCCGAGTACCTCTTGGAAAGCGAGTGGGGACGGGAATCGGCGCCGCCGTTGCCGCCGCCCTTAAGGGGCAGAGGGGCCGCATCCCGGCACAAGCGGCGGCGGCAGCAACCCCAGTCTTCGCTGCCTCTGGCGAGGGAAGAAGACAAGCCGCCGCAGCAGCAGGTGAGCGCCGGGGAGCTCTCGTGAGAAGCGACCACTTGCCGGGGGACGCGTGTCAAGCATCGGCGGGTGGTGTGTCACCGAGCCCTGGTTTCCTGGGCAAGGAGGGTGGGGAGATTCGGTTTGGGGAATCCGGATCGAGAGGCCTTTGTTCCGCCGTGGTACACTCTTCTCCTGCTGTCACTGGCAGACATGAGGGAAATGGGGTTTGTGTGTGTGTGTGTGAGGAACGACACACCTACTTATTTATTTATTTTTATTTATTAGTCGCATTTCTATGCCGCCCAACTCTCTAGGGACTCTTGCACGAGGCAGTCAAGGCCCAGTAATCCCCGCCGGCAGGCAGGAGTCCCTCCACCCACCCCACCTACCTACCTACCTACTTACCTTTCTGTCAGAGCTGCAGTGTTGGAGCTGCAGGTGATGAGGTGGGTTTTTGTGTTTTTTTTCCTGCCATTCTGGAAGAAAAGACATTTAGTAAAAAAAAAAAAAAAATTCTCCCACCATAAGGCATTGTTGCACCTGAGGTTGCGCTTTGGCTGGTTAAGTTGCAAAGAGGCTTCCACCTGGAGAACATGAAAATCTTGCACTTCCTCTAAAGCAGCGTTTCTCAATCTTGGTAGCTTGAAGATGGGTGGACTTCAACTCCTAGAATCCCCCAGCCAGCAGCGCTGGCTGGGGGATTCTGGGAGTTGAAGTCCACCCATCTTCAAGCTTCCAAGGTTGAGAAACACTGCTCTAAAGGACAGTGCAAGTGTCCTCTTGCCAAGTTTGGGGGTGAAGAAAAACATGCACAAAAGAACCATTTTGACACCATTAGATAAACTCTTATTGTGTAGGAGTAGAATTATTTCCTGTATGTGAGCTGTTTCCCAGACTGTACTTTAAAAAAAAAAAAATCAGGAAGATCTGCGACATCACACTATAAAACAATTCTGCATTGACATTTAACTGCTTTTTTTACTTCTTGGTCTCATGTTTAGGGGTCTATAGATTTTGTATATTTGAGAATATTTTACTCTTCTGTTTTTGGCTATAACCCATCACTGTATCATTCCTCAGTATCCTTTGCAGCCTATCCTACCCAATCTGGAGACCTGTGATGTTGAGACAGACATGTACGAAGTTCAGTAGGCTGTATAGTCATATCACAAAGAAGAAATAATAAACAGTCATATCACAACTAAAGTGTAAGAATTCCACACTTGCCAAAGATAATTTCATTGAAATGTTGACATTTTTAAAAGCAGGGAGTTTTCATGTCCATAAAATTTAAAGAGAATAATAAAACACACCCACACTCACACAGAGAAGAAATGCTTTGCATAATACTTAATCAGCCTAAACTGACATGCCACATTCATTCAGGTATCTGTGCTTATAATTTGATACTGAATCAATTTTTTAAAAAAAAACATCTTGAGGGGTGCTTGGAACATTTTGCTAAGAACAGTATGACTATTTGAATAATAATTAGATTTACGTCTCACAAGTGTGACTTGAAAAAATAGAGATAACTATAAAAGTTCTGATTGTTCTCACACTAAGGTGGCAGCATCCCACTGACCTTGGCTAATCTACAAAATCTCTAAACGTATTTTAGCCTGATTAATATCTGAATGGGAAACCATTAAGAAATCTTGGTAGGGCAAGCTCCAATGTATAAACAGCCACCAAACCCCGCTCCTGTTTGCACTGTTACCTAGCATGGAAATGAAATGTCTGCAAGAAAGCAGCTAAGCTCAAAAAGCATCAAGGACCCAACAGTTGATCCCTGAGAGGTGTAATACCACTGAAGCAACTCACACACTAGCTTCGGACTGCCATATTTTGCATCAACTGTTACATCCAGGTGGTTTTCAAGGGCAGACTCATACAGTGCACTGCAGTAAGCCAATAATGGAGCAATAAAGTGCATGAGTGACAGTCACCACAATTTGATTGAGATTGTTATTACAGTTAAGCAAAAGCAGTGGTAAATTCATTCTGTATTTTTATTTGATCCTAAACATTAGAAAACAGAATATTTCAGAGAAAACTCAATAACTCTTAAATATATTATTTTTGTTACATTTCTCTGTTATTAGCAGATTGTTATTAGCACAATGTGCAAAGTAAAAAATTAGACTATGTAAAATAGAACTTCTCCGCAGCAATGATCTTCATCCACATATGATAATCCTCAGTTTGTATCTCAAGAGCAAGTGACTCAAGAGCTGACATGAAAGTGCATGATGACATTTTATTCAAAGTGATAGGAAGACAGTCATTTACCAAACTGAAGAAAACATGAAATTTTGCAAATAAACACAGTATCACCAAATTAAAAGATATTTAATTTCTAGGTTAATACTTGCTCCAACTAGACTTTTCTATTCTAATTATTTAATATTCTAGCAGATTTTATTTTCTTTGAAGCTATAATTTTCAGAATGCACTAATTAAAGAGAATAAGAGAATTTACTAAACACCAGCATCTGTAGTTTTGAAATTATACTAAATTTGAAATTATTTTTAGAAGTGCTACAAATTAGTGTAAATATGTTTGTATTAAATAAAATCAATATAAATATGGAAGTGAAATTATTTCCCAAGTATTTCTTCATTTCACATTTCCTATAGAAATAGATGTTTACTACAGTTAAGGGTACTTTGTATTCCTTTTTGCCCTTTAGATCTCAAGGTGCTACATAAATGTGTATAATATTTCTATTTACTATGAAGAAAACTGCACCTTTGTTATATACCCTTAATCACTGAAGCTTTATAAAGTAAAACTGAAACAAAAAGCATCCTTGAAGGTATAATAACTAAGTTATTATAGAGCCTATTCTCTTTTTTTCTTTTTAGCAGGCTAATTAAAAGTAATCTTCCTGGAATGAAGGATATGAAATCCTAACATGTTTGAGCAAATCTGTACAAGAATATTTCAGTTATATAGCAATGTACTCCAAAGTCAATATTCCTTGACCTATATTTATTCTCAGCCTAATTCTGTAACAAGACCAATTATCTTTATGACTAACTGCTGGTTTCAATTGGGTTGTTTACAAGATTCAAATTAGTTCATTTTATATTATATCTTTTTAGCTTTTGAGTTTCTCAGCCTCTGAAATAATGTAAGAAAATAATACAGTTTTAATAAAATTAACATTAAAAACATGTATAGTATCTATCTTTTATAAAGCTTCAAAATCAATTAATGTTTGAAATCTACATGTGAGGGTTAGGTTCTTTGTACCTAACAATTACAGTTTCTATGTACTTGACCATAAATTTGGTGGTTGTTGTAGTGCATGATTTGTGTCAAAAGCAGAAATATTACACAATATTAAAATAAAGAATCCTTAAGATAGTTCTAAAGTGGCTAGACTTGTGGTTAGAATACATTTTAATATAGAAAGAAAACGTGTGTTCTATTCAATTTTTTATATTAAGACTTAAGTTGTAACAATTAACAATTAATGGATGTTGTTTGCATTGTTAGAATTTAGAATTATCATGTAATATATTCCACATATCCAGCTATAAAAAGCAAAACTTATTTCTTAACATTCCTGGTCAAAATTTGATTGAAATCAGTTGGAGCTATGGGTTTGTAATTTATGTTAAATTGGTACTGTTAATTCCAGGTCTTTTTTCTTAAGTTACATATTTCCTGCCTTTGCTCTGCCCTCTAAAAGGTCTTTTAAATGTGTCCTAGATGTATGGAAGCTTCTTTTCTCTGAGTACTTCCCAGATAATTGCAGATAGCTTTAAATTACTCAATTCGGATACTCAAATTAGGGCTCTTTTGAAATAGTTTGAAAAAAAATGCTTCGAACATATAGGAAATTGCTTTTCTGGATTCTAGTAAACTCTTTTTGTGGCCCCACATGCCCTAAAACATCTTTTTTAAACTGAATACAAAGCATTAAATACACAGCCTTACTATACAGCCTTAAGAAGTAATACATTTGCAATACATGGGAGCATGTACAAAGTGCCTCTTCAAATTCTTAAAACAATCTTGTTTTTTACAAGCTTTATTTGTGCTTCAAAAGACACTCCCCAACAATCTCTGCATGCATGTACATGATAGCCACATGCATGTACATGATAGCCACTAAGTGAAATAGCCATATAAGCATGTAATGCAGAGATAGCCAGCTGTAGCTTAAAACAGGTGCTTTATTTGTCCAGTGCTATTAACCAACTGAGAACCAATCTGGTGCAGTGATTAAGGCATTAGGCTGCTGGGCGACTTTGGCCCAGTCATTTTCTGAGTCCTAGGAAGCAGGCAAAGGCAAGCCAATTTCAAAGACTAGTCCAGGCAATTATCAGGAGTCAATTCTGACTCAAAGGCACTAAAAAAATTGCCCAACTATTTGAGCCAGATCAAATTACAAGTCCTGTACAAAGGAGAGAAAGGGAAAGGTACCAGTGTGTCTCTGCCTCTGTGTTTTTCTTGTTGGTCTAAAACTGTACTGATTTGATAGTATCTGCATATTTTATTGTTTATCTACCATTAAGGAAGAAACTTTACTTCAAAATGGCAAGGAATATCTACAGGTAGTTCTCAGGTTATGTTTAGAACCAGAATTCCTATCACTGAGCGGTGTGGTCATAAAGTGTGATGTCACATAACTACTGCATCACTTAGCAACAGCAATCCCAGCAATCCCCATTGCTGTGATGAAGTGAATACCTCACATGCCTACAATTTGCAACTTCCTACCAGCTTCCAGCAAGCAAAATCAATGGAAAAGTTGGCAGGAAGTCACAAATCCTGGGAGGCTTGTAAGCAGGCTGTAGGTGGGAAAGTGCTATGGAGGTGGGCAGATAGGAGCTGTGGCACCATATAAGGGCAGGCAGTGGAGAGTGCTGATGAGCCAAGAAGAGGTAGGCATGTACTATCAAAGGCAGGGGTGGATACTGGGGTGTACTGGGGTGGGTGCATGTGCTACAGAGTACAATATCTCTGGGATCTTGTACTTCATAGCCCGATTCTTTGGGGAAAAAGCAGGAGTGACTTGTGACTTTTTCTCCCAGCTTCTCCGTTGACTTTACTTGTGGGAAGTTGACAGGGAAGGTTGCAAATGGTAATTCCATGACTACAGGACACTATAACCATGATTAATGTGAGCCAGTTGCCAAGCATCCAGATCATGATCATGTGCTATGAGGGTGCTGTAATAACCAGAACCTTGAGGTGCAGTCATAAGTACCACTCATTAAGTGCTGTTGCAAATTTGAATGGTCACTGGATGAGTGGTTAATTGAAGACGATCTATATTTATAGTAGGATAAAGAGTACATACATTGGTGCTTAATACAGATTTATGTTCTCTTATTTAGTTTGTTCCCTATATTCAGCTTTTATTTAGAGGCTTTGAAACTCATTTCAATTATTCACATTCAGCATTCCAATATAACATTTAAATATTTTCAGTTTGATACTTGTGCATATTGATAAAGGGATCTGTTTTTTTGAATGGCTTCCTCCAAATAAATGTACATAGAAGAACATCATTAAAAATCAAAGTTTTGAAGTTCTACAAATTAAAGAATTGTAGAGTCTTTGTCAGACTCAGAATCAATACAGATAGTCTTTGACTTAATGACCACAATTAATATTGGAACTTCCATCACTAATTTATATGGTCATTAGGTGACTTGTGCCCGATTTTACATCCTTTTTGAACACTGTTAAACAAGTCACCACAGTTGCTAAGCAAATCACACCGTCGTTAAGTCAATCCCCCCACTAACTTTAGTTGTCAGAAGCCTCCTGGGAAGGGCACAGATGGCAATAATGTGACCTCATGACACTGCATCCATCATAAATATATGCCAGGTACCCTGTGCCCAAATTATAAGCACATGACTGGTCAGAAGTTACTATTTGTAACTTATGAACCGTCATTAAACAAATGGTCATAAGTGCAGGACTATCTGTAGTACTACACAATTTACAGCATTAAGATTTGTTAAGGCTCTTGCTCAGTTTATCAGAACTATGTGGACTAATTAAAAGGGCACTTCCTGAGATGGAAGGCATCCAGTTCAAAGTTTCTTGACATTCTATTTGTTTCATTTATAACATAAAAAATAGGTCTCAGTCACAAATCTTTTTCGTTGTCACAATTATGATTTAGTATAGCTTGATGAAAATCTAGACTCCACATCAAGAAGTATGATTGTCTCTATTGATACAAAGTGTTTTCATGAATGTAATTTCATGAACAGTCTTGTTTGGAAGAAAGTGAGTGTCTCAGATTTAGTGTTGTTTTCAGTAAATAGCTCTTGCCTTATAAGAGACTAGTGCTTGTATGTAAAGATTGACATTTTTCTCCATTGTAAATAGATTAACCAATGTGGAATACATATCTTGTCATAAAAATGAAAAAGTCAAGAGATTGCTCTCCAGGACATCTAATCACAATTGGTTTTATGTGTATTTGAAAGAAAAAGAACACTGTATATGCTGTATAAGTGTAACTGATGACCCGGGGCATGGCACAATGGCAACAGAAAATAAGTACAAGTCCCTTTATTAGCTCCAAACTTTCTCTTTACTCTCCAGTCTGGAGAAAAACCCTTCCACAAACTTGTAAGCAGACAAAACTCCCAACCATAAATTCAACAGGGCAAGATAAGGTAATTAAGCCAGCAGGGCAGCAAGGAATTCCAGAAGTGAAGTAGCACAGCAGTAAATCAGACCCGTTGGGAGGATGCCAGGAACTCAGATATACACAAGATGAACTCAGCGTTTGTTCCCAACAACCACCCCTCCCATTTGCCTCTCCTTTTAAACTCCAGCTCCAGGTGTATCTTGTGAAGGGGGTCGGGGCCCTTTCCTCCCTCGTAAGCCATGCAATCCACTTTGCTCTCTTCTCCATTCTTCCCTGCGTGCCCTAGGATGAGGAGGGAGTGGGCTTTGGTCTTCATCAGAAAGCCCTCTGCCTTGTTCTAACTCTCCCCTGCTCTGCCCAGCCTGACTTTGCCCTTCTCCAGTTTCCTCCACAACCAACGGAGCCATTCTCTCGCTCTCTGTCAGCTGTTCCACTTCCATCTCAGAGTCAGACTCCGACAGGGGCATGACACTAACATTGTTGGATGAAAATGTGAATGTTTCTACTTGCCTTTTTTAATTTGCACTTAAATATCCAAAAAAAAGTTTTAAATAATTATTGTTTAAGTTCATAACACTGATAGTAAAGGCCTTGTCCATGAAATACAACATTTGTGTCTCTACTGCTCAGAATCCAGTAATTCACAGTTAATACATTTCTTTTGTCCTGTTTTCCTGTCTTAATTGAAACATGTATTTTCTAAAACAAGAAACAGGGCAATTGCAGTTTTACACAAATGCTTGCAAGCTTTTATAAGTGCTAAATAAGTAAAGATATACTTACAACTTATACTTACTACTTACAACTATTGCTGAGCACATTGTAAGCCGCCCTGAGTCTTCGGAGAAGGGCGGCATATAAATCAAATTAAAAAAAAAAAAAACTGCCTTCAAAATCAAGCACAAGAGAAAGTATGAATTAAAAATCTTTAATATCACAAACAATACAACGCAGTTTTAGAACAGGACTTTCTTGTCTCATTGCTTCATATGGAAAAAACAAATGGGTATAATTCTATTGCTTTTTTATTGGAATATGAAATTGGCAAGCAAATTAGAACATTATGAGGGAACAATTTTCATGAAATCCATGTGAAGGTTTGGACTCTACATTATCTATTAAACTGATTTTAGTGTAGAATAGAATTTTAGTAATTTTTAGTAAATTCTATTCTGCTTACTAAGCCAGTTTGGTCTAGTGCAGAGGTCCGTGGACCAGGGCCAGAAACAGGGCCATGCAAACAAGCGAAGCCCCATCCGCAAGATGCAGGCAGCACATGAAACCACATCCCCTCTGATCCACAGAAAAATCTCTCTCCATGGAACTAGTCACTGGTGCCCAAAAGATTGGGGGCTGCTGGTGTAGTGATTAAGGCACCAAGTTAGAAAGCATAAACTGAGTTTTAGTCGCACCTTAGCCATGAAGGTCTTGGGCCACCCAGTCATTCTTTCCCTGGCTCACCTCACCTGGTTGCTGTTGTGAGGAAAATAGGAGAAGGAAAATATGTTGGATATATTTGCCATCTTGAGTTATTTGTAAATAATAATAAAAGCAGGATACAAATAATAAACGCAGGATACAAATAAAGAACACAGAATTAATATGGAATCATTGAAATCATTCAAATTATGCTGTAAAATGAAACAAAATAAAGACTAAATCCAGATAAAAAGGTTTGCTTTGCACACACATTTTATGAAGGTACTTATTCTTGCAACATTTAATTAACAAGAAATAGTGGACCCCATAAAAACAAGTTACCAAGTTTTGTGAAACAAAAAAAAATCTTATGCAGAAACAGGAGCAGAAGTAAATTGTTTTTGATTATTTAAATTCTTTTTCAGGATCTGTTGGAAACAAAGGGGAGGAAGCAAATTAAATTATATTTCAGGGTGTATTGTAGTTTATGTGATGCAACACTAAATCAAGGCAATCTAAAATGTATTGTTTCAGTGATACATTTATTCATTTAATCATTATAGTCTATTTCCGTGATGGCGAACCTATGGCACGTATGCCAGAAGTGGCACGCAGCACCCTCTCTGTGGGCACGTGAGCCATCGGCCCAGCTCAGCTCCGCTGCACTTATGTGCATGCCTACCACCAGCCAGATGGTCTTTGGGTCTCTGCCGCACATGCGCAGAGGGCAGGGCGCATGCGGGGGGCCATGCATGCATGTGGGGGTGGGGCACATGCAAGGGGCACATGTGGGGGGCTGTGCATGCATTGCATTTTGGGAGTTTGCGTGGGCAGGAGCTGGGGCAAGAAACAGGAGCTCACCCGATTGCTTGGTGCCAGGTCTTGAACCTGGGCTCTCAGTTCCAGCTGACAAGTTCAACATCTTTAATTGCTGAGCCATGTTGTAGCACATTAATAAATTACTTGGTTATATGACAAAACATAATACTATTGAAAGAAAGATAATTGTTTAATAATATAAAACAGAGCTAGTTAATTATGACAAAAATATTTCAGATTATTACCCTTTGTAAAAAAAAATTAAACTATTTTTACATACAAGGTTGCATTTTAAAAAGCAGGAATGGTTTTGTTGATATAGATTAGTAATCTTTATTCTCTTTTTATTCTAGGTCCTACAAGAAGAAAGGGAAAATAATACTGAATCAATTACGGATGACTATAAAAAGATGGGGACTCTCTTTGGTGAACTCAACAAAAGCCTCATAAGAATAGGATTCACAAGGATGTATTTTGGAGAAAGGATTGTAGAACCTGTAATAATCCTGTTCTTCTGGGTTATGCTCTGGTTTCTTGGACTACAAGCTCTTGGATTGGTGGCTGTCCTGTGCCTTGTTATTATATATGTTCAGCAATAAAATACACTGGATAGATTATTTCATATCTTGATGGATTTACATATTAAGCTGAACAAGAGTGGTATTACTACAAACCATTGTGCTGAATATTATGTAGCCATTAAATGTTTGCATGGGTTTTTTTTCTTCCAATCTTTGTAATTTAACAAGAAAAAGCATTCTTATCTGTCATGAATAGGTGAGTAAAAGATTCTCAGTATGAGGCAGTGTAGTCAAATCCTTCATTTAGTAAATCCTATTTACTTAGTGGAAGAATTCAAGTTTTAAGTGGTTTGGAGGTACAAACACACTTTTCATTGTATGGATGGTGCTTTTATATTCATGTAACAACTGTTTTCAAAAAATACCTTTTATATTAAAACTAAATGTTAAAAAGCCAATTTTATGAGCTCTGGTGTTACATGATTTTTTATCACCGTGTAAATCTCCCTGCAAATTTCATTACTGATGTGTATGCATAGGAACTCATCTTAAGCAAATTGTTTTTGTATAACTATTGCCATTAATGATTTGTAAATGTATTAGAAAAATGTCAGTCTAAAAATTCTTAAATAAGACAGTAAAACTGGTGATTTTTTTAATTTCATTTTTTTCATTATGTGTGTACATATAAAAAAACTTTCTCTGGAAATATATTAGGATTCTTTCTTTCTTTTTAATGGACTTCTCCTAATTTATATCAGTTTAATTATTTTATTGCAGTCTCAGCAGACAGAGCAAGCTACATAAAGTATTTTTGCTGAAATTGTCCATGTTTTTCCCTTTTAAATGAGTATTTTGGGGAGAAGAAATAAATACATTTACTAGTTATATAATCAAGGACTGATATGTAATGAGCCAAAATATTACTAATATTATTAAGTTTACTTTACAATTTACAATGTAATATTTACAATTACAATATAAATATACTGCTCAAAAAAATAAAGGGAACACAAGCAGAAGACATCCGAGATCTGAATGAATGAAATAGCCTTATTAAATACTTTGTTCTTTACACACAGTAGTTTATACACTGCTCAAACAACTAAAGGGAACACAAAACTACTGTATGTAACGAACAAAGTATTTAATAAGGCTATTTCATTCATTCAGATCTCGGATGTCTTTTGCTTGTGTTCCCTTTATTTTTTTGAGCAGTGAATTTACTGCAGAGAACTTATTAGACCATAGACGCTGCACTGTTTAAGTTATTTAAGAACCATGCAGAAGGTAGTTGATAAAAACAGCCTTCACAGTTCCTTCTCAAAGCCATGCTTCCTGTTACTTTTGTTAAGTCAGTATCTATTGTGCACTGAATTTTTTTTTAGTGAAGCTCTTTGTGTATCTTGAAAGTATGATGGTTATGATTACATTGATTTACCAAGTGAAAATTTTTTGAAGGGGAAAATTGAGATAATAAGTTTATCCATCATAACTGTAGAAATGCTTTGCCAAACAAATTCAATCTACAATTGAAAAGTCCTTTCTGCCATGTTTACCACAGCAAGAATCCAATGCAGAAGTAAAATTTGGAGATTCCTTTTTATATGCAAGACTATTATGTCATTCTTATATTGTTCCAAGTATGGTATATGGACAAAAATATTGACATAACAATCTCCTACACTAGATCAATGGTTTATAGACAAAAGGAAGATTGCGACTGGATAAAAACTAGCTTTCTTGATATTTGTTATTTATGGTAATATAAATTTTTCTTTATACTTTAGCTGTTCTAGGTAGGATTCTTTAAAATATTTGTAGCTGAAATTGGCTTTTGTTATTTAAATTTAAGAGAAATTCCAGCCTCCATTTTAATAGTTAATTTTTATTTCGAGTCACCAGTTTTTATTTTTTACTCATCTAGTTCATGCAAAGATTTTTTTAAAAATTAAAACTTGCTAATTTATTTTGTTGTAAGCTTTAAAAATATCACCGTTCTGTTGATGTGACTCTAGCTAAACAATCTACAAAATCAACATTATTGATTCTGTAATAAAAAACAATGAATTGTTTTGTATCTTGGGTGGCTGTTACAGCTCTCTAATAGACATCTGAAGGTTCTCATCCATTTTGTAAGAGGAAGCAAGCTTATGTGTTTCAATGAAATGTCAGAATATATACAGAAAAACCAACTTCTCTTTGCAATCAGTATAGCTGGGTGTTAAATTCTATACCCTTTTTTAGAGACAAGAGTAGTTTACAACCTGAAGAATGCCTTTATAGCAGGGGTGAAATGTACTTACCTTTCCTACCGGTTCACTGATGTGCATGCGCCATCATCTGCGCATGCACAAAGCCTTCTGCGCATGCGCAAATGGTCAAACTGGGACGTGACAACATCCCGGTTGTGGGGGGACAGAGCCTTCCGCCACTGGCACTACCGGTTCTCCAAACTACCCGCCGCCGACGCTACTGGCCCCCACAAGCCAGATAGAGCCGGCAGCATTTCACCACTGCTTTATAGGTATTCAGAAGACAAATTTTTTAAAAAGTATTGCTGGTGAATTAAGTGCAAGTAGCCTAAAAAAGATTTTCAAATTATTTTCAAGTAACTACTCAGTTCAAACCTGTAGTGTGTGTATATAATATATACTGTAGGTGTGTGATTAATTGTTTAGCCCATTACAATGATTTTGAAATGATTTTAAGAGTATGATTGCACTTTTTGGGATATTTTGATCTTAAATGAAACTTCTGACATTTTGATCTTTTAATTATTACCATGCTACTATTTATAACTCTAATATGTTTTGGAAAGGAATGGAGCAAATCTGTACTTATTTTATATGAATTCTTGACTGTACAGTACACTGAAGAGCCACACTATGGTTTAGTTGATAATGATCCTTGCTGAAGCTCTTCACATGTCAAAATATGCTACTAGATTGGGGAGAGGGAAATCAGTATTAGATATACAGTTCAGGAAGATGCAATCAGACATGGAGACTGGTAACCTCACAGATTCTTTTGAAGGTATTTTCTGATCACAGATAAGGATTTGCTCTGAAAAATGTAACACCCAGAATGGTTTTAATATTCAATTATTTCCTGAGAAATGTTTGTATGAAATTATGCTTATACAAATTCAGATTTTTTCAATAAAATTTCTTTCGGTTTAAAAATTGCTTTTGCCTGATTTTTTAAAATAAATTAATGGAAATTTATTTCATTAATTTATAATGAAATACCTTTAGTAAAATAGGAGCTTCAAAAGCCATAGTGGTATTCTGAAGGGTTTTTTTAATATTATTTCTAATAATTAGAAATTACAGGTAGTCCTCGATTTACAACAGTTCACTTAGAGATTGTTAAAAGCTTCAACGGCACTGAAAAAGGGATTTATGATCGTTTTTCACACTTGTATTATTCAAATTTCTATACCGCCCTTCTCCTTTCGGACTCAACACTTAACAACCGCTGTAGCATCTTCATGGTCATGTGATTAAAATTTGAATGCTTGGAAACTGATTCATATTTATGACAGTTGCAGAGTCACTTGATCGCCTTTTGCAATCTTCTGGCACGCAAAGTCAATGGGGAAGCCAGATTCACTTTACAACCATGTTACTAACTTAACAACCGCTACATGGCCAATTCTATAAGAAATGAATAATAAGGCTCTGCTTGTGTACAGGTAGTCCTCTCTTCGTGATTGCCTCATGTAGTGACCATTTGTGCTTATGACAGTGATGAAAAAGTAAGTGATCAATCCTCGCATTTACAACTTTTGTAGGTCTATAAAGCAAAGGAAAACTCATGTAAGATCAAAGAACAGTCTCAGTTAAACTTAGCAACCACTTCACTTAACAAACTAAGTTGCCTATCACAATGTGGTTGCTAAATGAGGACTACATGTAAAAATACTTCCATTTATTTCTTCTCAATATGTTATCAAATGGTCACATTGGAAAATCAGGTATCCAGTATTTGTAGTCCTATGCACTTTTCATCTCATTAAATGCAGTGGAATAGTAGAATTTCTAATACTGGTATGTGATTAATATTACACATTTTAAATTTTAATTATTTGAGTGACAGCAGCTTCTCTGAATCTGTTGAGCTGTTGAAAGGTAATTTCTCTGAATAAAATACACAATCAGCAAATTCCTTAAATTTGTATCCTGTCTAAAGACAATTTATGTACCAAGTGGAAAAATATATTGCTATAATATTACACACTCGAAACATTTTGCTTCCCAAGTCCAGCCTATTAATATTTTGAACTCCTAAATCAAAACGACTAAGAAGCATTCAAAACAACCAAGATCATTATACCTCTTCAAGGCATTTATAATTGTTTTAATTGGACATTTGTGAAAATGGATAAGTTGTACAGTATTTTTTAAAGAAAGTTTATTTCAAAATGAGCTTTCGTCAAAAAAATCCATATAGTTTTCTTGGCAACAATGCAGTAATGACTTACACTGCCTTTTTCCTGGAGGATTTTTTCCACTTCTTGGCTACAGTTAGATAAACTATCTATTTTAAACCTACCTCATGGTTACTACATTCTAATTTTTTGCAATAATTTTATGAGAGTTTACAAATACAAAAATAAAAGTCTAATACAAACTAAAAAACTATAAAAAGTTAAGAAAAAAGAAGTGCAGAGACAGAAAAAAGAAAGGGGGGAAGACATATAAAGATGATTCCCCTACTTCCAGAAAAGTAAAAATAACTGCAGTATGTTAACTCTAATATTTCCCATAACTCATCCATATCAATAATGTATAAAAGACATTATCCATTTCTAATCAGCAAAACTCTATTAAGAGCTACCAGAAATAAAATATTTTAACTTAATGTAATAAATTCATATTTATTCCATATATATATATATATCTACCCTGATCAAATAAGTCTACTTCAAATTCCTTCCGTTTACTTGTCTTGATCTTTAATCCTGCCAAATAATATCCCACAAGCTATCATTATCATTTTCTCTTTCTCTCCTCTCAGGAAAACAGTATAAATATTTAATTTCTATAGTGTATAATTTTGAATTAAATATATGGATAAAAAAGAAAAGGAAGACGTAACATACTTGTTAATTGAAGAAAAATCCCAAAATCTATATGTGGGTAGCAATTTAAGTCAATTTAAGGCTACAAATAAGAAATAAACAAGAACAAGCCATGAATGTGCAATTTGTTACAGTGAAAAAAACTATAAATGGTAAAATGATTATAGTGAAGAACAACTATAAATGTTGATCGTATTTCAGTTTATCTTGTAATAATATATCTTAGTGAATTCAATAGAGGAAAAAAGAAGGCAACACCTAAGCTTCTAGTAGTTCGTCATTTGACATTTTTATCCACCTATTGAGTTCCTCCCACAGTTTGGGATAAGCAGATGTTGATTTTTGATGGTCTTAAAGGTATCACAGCAGGAT